TTACTACAGTATAGAAACGGAAGCCCTGGATGTGGTTTAAAGTTCGATGGCATTGGAGCAGTCTACAAATATTGTCAAAAGTTATTTATTCAGCTAAGAGCAGCTCCCAGGTAACCTAGATGAGCTGCATTTAGCAATGCCGCAACGCTCCAACTTCGAATTCAGGTCCTGCACTGACGTTTTGCAGACTAAGTCGCGGCTGCACTTTTCCAAGCAGCAACGCCACCGATTTACGGCCCTTGCAGGCGGCAGCTACCTTACTCCACGTCCGTAGCCCAAGTAGCAACCATCCACATTCATCGTCCCATGACCGGACAGCAGCTACATCATGCCACGTGCCGTATCCAGACAACAGCTACACCGTGTCCGGGCAGCAGCTACACCATGCCACGTGCCGTGTCCAGACAATAGCTACATCGTGTCCGGACAGCAGCTACACCATGCCACGTGCCGTGTCCAGACAACAGCTACACCGTGTCCGGACAGCAGCTACACCATGCCACGTGCCGTGTCCAGACAACAGCTACACCGTGTCCGGACAGCAGACCATGCCCAGACATCAGGATGTGCCCAGACGGCAGATCGCACCGGAGCAGTACCGGTCCTCCTCGTCCGTGTCCGGCCGTGTTTAATTATGTATTCGGAGTGGGTAGGCCGTCCGGCAAACTGGGTCAGACGGCCGGCCGGAGATCGGAGCTGAGCCACCTCCGATCGCTCGAACTCGGCGCCGGCCTGCCGTCCTGACCGAGATGCCGCTGACCAGGGAAGAGCCGACTTTACAGCCGGTCCTGGCCGAGATGTCAGCGCGCTATCCCACCGGTCCCGGCCGAAATGTGGCCGCGCCACCACGCCGGTCCTGGCCGAGATCGTGCTGCGTCGGGAAGTTCAGACTATCAGTCATGGCCGAGATGTTGTGTCATGGCCGAGATGTCGTGAGACGCGTCTGGACCACTGAGTGATGTAGTCTGGCTCTTGTTTATGTCTGGACCACTGAGTGATGTCGTCTGACTCTGACGCGAGCACCAGAATATTCCGACATTTCTGGTGTACCCGTCGAAACAAAGGCATATCGAAGGGTTTCCCGCTGTGGTTGGGGGCGCTGCTGATCAAGGCGGAACACGAATGAGTTGCCGCCAGGTGGAGTTCTTTGCTTCTCCGACAGCGAATGTTCGCTGGATCACCCCATTCGCGGGCGAGGGGCACCTTGTAAGGCGTGTCGAGAAATCCCGTTGGCCGCACCGGGACGCGTCGCAATTGGCACCACGGGACGTCGAGGCGAGCCAAGGCACCGCAGTTCACAATGACGCCTCATACGGAACCAGCCGCGACACTCGGGCCAGTTAAGCGCCCAGCAACGTCGTCATCGTGGAGCTCCATCCGACCACCTCGGGCCGGCAGTGACAGCTATCCAGACCCGCGGCGGCGCGACCAGTCCAAGACCGCGCCTCCTCGGCCGCCAGCATTTACCGTTCTGTCTCAGCCCAGATACGGGCCGGCATTTTGGGGAATTTTTCTCATCGGAAAGGCGGCTAACGTCCGTCCGTCGGTCGGCTGGCCACATGCGGTCCGCACGGCCTCCGGCAGGGCCGCGCCGGTGCCTTCCGGCGGCGGCGATCCGAACGCGGCCGCTAAATTGGTCGCGGAGACGCTGCAGGCGGCGTAGGCGGCGGCCCGGTTCCACGGCCGCGATCCAGCCAGCCCTTCGGGCCGGCCCCGTGGCGGCTCACGGGGAAACTCGGGTACGCACGGCAGCGCGTGGTCGTGACGGCCGGTCTGGGGCTTTGCGTCCGTTATGCTCCAATAATATCTCTACTTCTGGAGCTGGAAATTGCTGTTGCGATGTTGGTCGCTGCTGTTGCTGTAATGGCAGAAGTGAATGCATGTGAAAGACCTAAACAAGTTGAGGTTTCTTTATGCCTTGCAAGTGCTCACTAGTTCACCTGCGATTTTGCAGCAGACGTCATGTTTTCGTCCAGCCATGCTGTCCCTGGCTTCATCGGCGATCGCTGCATTTCTCTCGCATCAGCGCTCGGTCATCAGTCGATGCATCCAGTCCTTGCTCCCGATAGACGACCACAGTGTCTCTTCCAGTGCCGAGGGTCACGCATCGCCATCGGACGGACACACGCTGAGTCTCCCGTCCCCGCGTCTCCCAGCGCTCCCCCAGCGTCTCCCACCGCTTCCATAGCGTCCCACACCACTCCTCCAGCGCCTCCCATCGCTCCCCCAGCGTCTCCTACCGTTCACCTAGCATCTCCCACCGCTTCCCTAGCGGCTCCCATCGCTCCCATAGTGTCTCTCACCGCTCCCCCAGCGTCTCCCACCACCCATGTAGCGTCTCCCACCGCTCCCCGTCTGACACCCTACCTCGCGTTGCAGCTGGCGGTGGCCGCGGACGAGGAGGCGACCCAGGTGGCGCAAGATGTGACCTCGGAGGAGCAGGCGGTGGTGCAGGGCGTGCTGGAGGAGGCGTCACAGCCGCAGCCGGCCGAGGCACGCTCGGATGACGGCCTCGACCAGCTGGCGCTCGAGTCACAGCTGGACGAGCGCGACTCTGGAGGCGGCCACGGTCACGGCGCCGGTCACGGAGGCGGTCACGGCAGCAGCGTCAGCGGCCACGGCGGCGGCGGCGGCGGCTACGGCGGCGGCGGCGGCGGCGGCAGCCACGGCGGTGGCGGCGGCGGCTACGGCGGCGGCGGTGGCGGTGCGCCGTCGGGCGACTACGGTCCGCCGCGACCGCCCAAGGGCGGCCCACGGGTGCCGGGGCCCATCCCGGTGCCGTACGCCGTACCTGTCCGGCCAGGCACCGTCGTGCTCCCGCAGGCGCCCAGCGGCGCCTACGGCGGCGGCGGCGGAGGAAGCTCGGCCGGACACGCAGGTGGCCACGGAGGTGGAATCGGAGGCGGGCACGGAGGCGGGCACGGAGGTGGAGGCCACGGCAGGCCCAGACCCATCTACAAGCCCCGTCCTCGGCCCCGACCTCGCCCTCGTCCTCACAAGCCTAAGCTCGTCTACGGCCCGGCGACTGACCATGACTTTGCGCGCCGGCCGAAGCCGAGTGGAGGTTACAGAGCTCCCTCCGGTGGCCACGCGTCAGCGTCGATCCACGGTGGAGGTGGACACGGAGGAAGCGTTGGACATGGCGCTGGCGGCGGACATGGTGCTGGCGGTGGACATGGCGCTGGCGGCGGACACAGCGGCGGCGGCGAATACAGCATCGGAGGCGGAGGGCACGGCACCGGCGCCGGTGGACATGGCGGAGGCGGAGGGTACAGTGGTGGAGCCGGTGGGCACGGCGGCGGAGGCGGCGGACATGGCAGCAGCGGACATGGAGACGGCGGACACGGCAGCAGCGGACACGGTGGTGGCGGACACGTAAGCAACGCACACGGTGGTGGCGGACACGGAGATTCTCACTCCACTGGCTCTCAGCACTCGGGCGCGTACGTGGCTCCGCCACCGCAGGGGTCCTATTCCAGTGGAGGTCACGACGTCGCTCACGGAGGTCACGATACCGGTCACGGCGACCACGGCGCAGGTCACGGAACCCACACTGAGGACCACGGTGCCGTGTCAGACAGCTACTCCGCGCCGAGCGAGCCACAGAGCTACGATGCGCCGGCCGCGCTGCAACAGAGCTACGACGCGCCGCAGCCGCAGCAGAGCTACGACGCGCCGCAGGCGCAGGCGTACGAGGCTCCGGCGAAGCCCGAGCAGGCGTACGAGCCGGCGCCGGCACACCAGGTGGCCGAGCAGTACGGCGCGCCCGAAGCGCAGGCGCAGGTGAGCTACCAGGCGCCGGCCGCGCCCGGCGACGACTACGGCGCGCCGAAGGACGCGCACGCGGCGCCGGTCGAGCCGGCGGCGCAGTACCAGGGACCGGCCCCGGCGGCGGAGCAGGGGTACGGCGCACCGGCGGCGGCGGAGCAGGGGTATGGCGCGCCGGCGGCGGCGCAGCCGGAGGTGTGGCCCGCGCCGGCGGCTGATATGCCGCGCATCGTGTCGCTGGACGTGCAGTGCGACAAGTCGCTTATGCGCGTGTCGGTCAAGTTCGACAAGCCCTTCTCCGGCATCATCTTCAGCAAAGGGCACTACAGTAACTACAACTGCGTGCACCTGCAGCCGGGCTCGACCAGCGCCGACGCGCAGTTCGACATTAGCATCAACGCGTGTGGCACGACCGGCAACACGGAGAACGGCCAGTACGGCTACGGCTCCGACTCGGGCTCCGGCACCTACTTCGAGAACACCATCATCATCCAGTACGATCCACAGGTGCAGGAGGTGTGGGACCAGGCGCGCAAGCTGCGCTGCACGTGGCACAACCAGTACGAGAAGGCCGTCACCTTCCGGCCGTTCCCCGTGGACATGCTGGACGTGGTGCGCGCCGACTTCGCCGGCGATAACGTCGGCTGCTGGATGCAGATCCAGGTGGGCAAGGGTCCCTGGGCGGCCGAGGTGTCCGGCCTGGTCAAGATCGGCCAGACCATGACCATGGTGCTGGCCATCAAGGACGACGACAACAAGTTCGACATGCTGGTCCGCAACTGCATGGCGCACGACGGCAAGCGCGCGCCCATCCAGCTGGTGGACCAGGCCGGCTGCATCACGCGCCCCAAGCTCATGTCCAAGTTCACCAAGATCAAGAACTTCGGCGCGTCGGCGTCCGTGCTCTCCTACGCACACTTCCAGGCGTTCAAGTTCCCCGACTCCGATGGAGGTGCACTTCCAGTGCACGATCCAGATCTGCCGGTACCAGTGCTCGGAGCAGTGCGGCTCGGCCATCGAGCCGCGCCCGGCCGGCGGCTACGACGCGCCGCCGGCGCAGGGCTACGAGGGACCGCACGACGAGCGACGAGTGCGACGTTCCGCCGAGGCGCGCGACGTCGGCATCGACCGCGTCATCCAGGTGGTCTCCACGCGCGACCTGGCCTTCGCGCTGGAGACGCCCGCCGGCAACGACACGGAGACGGTGGTGTTCCCCGTCGAGAGCGACGACCATCGGATCTGTATGTCGACGCCTGGCTTCGCGGCCACGCTCATCGTGCTGCTGGCCATCCTGGTCATCTCCTCGCTGCTCTCGGCCTTCCTGTGCCTGCGGTACCGCGCCTTCGGCGGCGACCGGTCGGTCCTCTCCGCCTTCGAGAACCCCATCTTCCTGCACAAGAAGAGCGGCCACTTCTGAGCAGCGGCGGCCGCTGCAGCTCGCGTCGCCAGCGAGTCGAATCGGCGCATGCGCGGCGATCGCGAGGCTACCACTGCTCCCGGCCCGTCGCGGACGTGTCGCTGCGGCGATGCCCCGCTCGGCGGAAGCCTCGCAGAGGCTTCGCTCGTCGCCCAGCTCGCTCAGGATCGCTCGTCGCCGACCAGGCGCCGACGCCTGGGCGCGCCGCTGCGACGTCAGGACGTCACGGGGGCGAGAGTCCGCCGAGCTGGTTATCCTGCGGGGTCGGGAACACGAGGGCGCGGGGTCGTCGGCGGGCACTTGGACCGTCTGAGGTCCGTCGGGAGGCTATCCGCGGAGCTGCCGCGCACGCAGGCCAGGCCGGGTCAGGGGGCGACCAGAGCCGCTGGCCCCGGTCGCCGGGCGGGATGCTCTCGGTGCCCCGGTGGGTCAGCTGACCTGGTGTGACCTGCGGCGCAGCGCCGGCTTCCGACAGCCGGCACCGGCACGCTGCAGATTCTAGGCTCCCCCGACCGCCGGCGGCCGGCGTTCATCTTGTCTGCGTGCGGCTCGCGCGATACTCCAGAGCTCCGCAGCACGGATGGCGCCGACGCCGCGGCGGTCTCACCAGGGCACGGAACTTTGCCTGCCGCCCCGGCGCCCCACTCGTGGAACGACTGTGACGTCATGAAGCGTTGTCACATTCGTTCTGCGTACGGCGGAAGTGTCAGCTGGTCACGATCAGAGCTTGGGAGATCCTGACGTTTCATGGAGCCGCCGCGAGAGCCCAAAGCTGCTTGCCTTCAGGCGACTGATTGCAAATGCCCGTGATATGGTTGCGTGTATCTTGGCCGGCGTACAGCTGGCACCTTACAGGCGCACTCGTGTTTGTCTTATTTGTCACCGTACTCCGCGCCATGTCTCGCCTCACGGCGGTTTTGGCAGGGTGCCAAATCCAGCGCCAATCTTGTTACTCCACCCCCGAGGCTGTTAGCCGTTGTGCCTTGGGAGGATTTGTTATATGGAGTTGCGCTGGGTATGATAGTAGCATTGTCTGGTGTGCATCAGGACTGAATGGTGAATGGAACGGAGTGCATATATGACGCATGTTTACAGGGCTCGTGTATGGCTGGGAGGAACCGCAGTGCGGTGGAAACGAAACAAATGGTCCTGCGAACATATTGGAGCGTTTGGGATGTTTGCTGACGCGGCAATACATACAAACAATATACATGTATAGCTGATGGTGTGTTTTGAAGAAAAATCCATTGCTGGCAATCCTCGCCGGACATTGCGTTCGCCGGGGAGAATCACCTCGTATTAGTGAGATGAAGTCTACAACAGCCTGGCGTGGAGCGGCACAACTACAGCTTAACCTTGAACTGAAACATCGCCGGAGGGGACTGGCTGCCAATATCACCAGCAGAAAATGATGTCGCCAGATCAGAGCCCTCTTATATGGAGGAGAGCTCGACTGGCATACGACCTTGTGCCCTCAGTGGTAACCGAGCAACGGCTGGCGATCCCAGCTCACCTTAAGATACCAAGCGGATCGCAGTGCTATAATAAGGACGCCTCCACCTGAGTCCTGAAGTGATCACGCGAAGCCCAAAGCAAGGCAGGCCTGTGCACGACAGCGTTACTGTTAAATCGGCACCACTCCTGTTGTCCGTCAGCCGGGGAGGCTTGAGCATCTGCTATACAATTTCTGAACTTTGCTTGGACTGTGTTGAAAACCTCTAAAGCAAGCCATTACAGTTCGCATTTACCCTTACTTAACAACGCAAGCGTTGGTCCAAGATCAGAACGCCGATGACATAGTAGTTAAGTCGCGCGTCTGGCAAACCAGAGGTTCTGAGCTCAGTTCCCCGTGATGGTGGTGGCTTAATTACCCGCCCTTCTCGCAATGATGAGAGGCGGAAAATACCACCCAGCCCCAGCAGCCGAGTGCGTCATAAGCTCCAATGATGGCAATCCGAGTAGCCCCACCGCTGCACGTGGTACAACACTCACCATGGGTGCGATGATGGTGACTGGTGTTTAAGTTGGTTCTAGAACTGATCAAAAGCTGACGAATCGCGACTCGCATATCCCGTGCTGCCATTGGAAAGAAGAAGCGTTGAAGGGAAGGTTAACATGGCCTACAGTGATCCTCAGAAAATGATTGATGCAGCCACTAACTAGGGCCGTACGCACATAGCCACCCAAGGGGCACGTGCCCCCCCCCCCCCTCCCCACCAAAGCTGTATTAGGTATCGATGGGAAAGGTGGAGCGAGAAACGCGCCGCGTCGAGGTAATGCGCCCCTACCCCATATCCAGACTTTTTAAAATTATTATAGATAAGGCAGAAGTAATAACCTTATTCCTCGGAGAAAAACCACGAGAATGGAGATATAGATGGGTTGATAATTCTGCGACATGCCTGTATCGAAACAATAGCAGAAGTGAATTGAAAATTTCTGCTGATAATCCTACCCGATTTTTCAGTTTTTTGAAACAGCGAGCCACAGTTTATCAGGACACCAACATTCTCGGGATTAACCAAAGAGCGATTGCCAGTCATTACCACGATACAATGCATGCCTAAGAATAAGAATGCGCGAAAATACGAGTACATGCAAGCAAATGAAAGCAAACAGTCATCACGCATTACGCTTCATTCAAACATGTTTTGCATGTTTGAATGTTTTCAATATAAATAATGCTTTTCTCAAATGCACTGAACAACTTATTTCATTTATCATTCTTGATGTGAACTGAGATTGTCAAATGATTTGAGCATGCGCTGTAACCATTGTGTTCTTTTTGTTGACGACCGATGTGCATGGCAGATAAGAGCAGAAAACGCAGATTTTTAGCGCTAAATGGAACTTTTTCGGCATAGCTGAAATGGCTCTCCAAGGCTTCAGCGTCAGCGGGCTGTGACTGCTGAATACGAAGTGTTCTCGGTCACGACGACCCCGTGGGATCAGCGATGATCCAGGAGTTAGAGCAGGTCTGAAGTCGGGCAGGGGCGGTGACAGCATGCTGCGGAGTGCTACGGATGGCACGGCAGTAGATGTGCAAAAATGGGGCCGACTCCACCCACCCGGACAGTGGGGTCAGCAGCAAACCTAACGAACGCTTCAGCTTGCAAAACAGGAATCATTCAAAGTCTCCGTTGTCAAGGACACCAAAACGCAAGTGCACACGGCTACAGGAGATGTGCATTATACTTTCCGCTTCATCATACAAAACGGTCGCTGCAGAAACAAAAACCAAGATGAAAAGCCAGCGACAGCGAAGAAGGGTAAAAGCGGCAGAGGAGAGCGCGAAGCAGGGAATGCTGGCATCAAGGTGATTGAGACACAGAGCGACGAGGACACGGGGTGTTTCATCCGTTGTATGCTGACCGCCCCTCTTGCCCATCTCGAATTCAGTGCACGAAATGCTCAAAATGGGCATGTGGAACCTGCAGAAATGCTTACAGAGGACTGCTTTCTTGAGTGTGACCTCTGCCGGGAGCAGCGGGAGTGCCAAGAGCCATGGGTGAGCACCGTTGTGCCAAATTTTAGTTTTCCCCTTTTTTGCAATTGAGTGCCAGTTTTCGTGACCTGTAATCAGTGACGCCTTCAGTGACGTTTTGAACCCTGTTGAGAATTTTTATTTATCTACGTGTTGAGTTTTGTTCTCCTTACATGGGTATGTGAAACGCTGCGAAATCGACTACTTAAGCAGAACGATGCATTACAGACCTTTGTGGCGTGTCAGCAGTATGTCATCAAACATTTTAAGAGGGGCCTTTACTGCTTGCACATTAAGGCTAATGTCTTGCACGATACGTGATGAAATGGACGCTAGGGATAAGTGCAAAGTTGCAATTTTACAGGAAAGAATGCTTTGACCCAGTGCAAGGAGCGGTTTGTCCCGAGGTGGGACAAATGGCCACTTTTTTAGCCTTGCATATTTGGACGATTTTAGAACCTAAACCACCTTTAATGAGTTTATAAGTTATTATTCAATGCGAGAAAATACATTGAGATTGCTACTGATACTTGAGTTGGTCCGATTACACGCCTCAGCCCAAAGATATCGTGCTTTTGGTGAAACTAGGGGGCGTTTTGCCCACTTACCCAACGTGAAAAACGTTGACAGTTAAAAATGCCAGTTAGACACGTGCAAATGAAATCGAGGGTATGCGACGTCGCTCTACGATACACAATAAATAGTGCGCAGATGCGGCTCTCTAAGCCCAGTTTTTCGTGAAGTGTTTGACCCCCGCCCCCCCCCCCCCCTTCCGCTTCTCGCTTCCCTCCAACAATATTATTATTTCCAGCGCACGCCGGTTTTCAAAGGTGTCTAGCTTCTCTACCTTAGCTTTGGCTTCGGCTCTGCAAAAGCTGTCAACTTTGACATATGTCATCGCTTCGTTCGTTACGCGTCAAACAAGACGCCTTGCTAGTAATTATCGCGAACGGGACCGGAAGCCGAGCGAGCCTTAATCGACTCATGAATAAGAAATGATAGGCGCTTTCTAAAATCTTGGCAGACATTGATTACGGGCTTAAGTGATTTCGGTAAGTAGTTTCTGATGCGTGAAAGGCAATTCATCAAATTTGTGCTCTACAAATTATTGTGTATTTACATGCTAGTTATTTCATCAAGTGGCTTTGCCTACTCGACTGCAATATTATCTCGATTTGCCTCCCCACCTCCCACATTGGACTGGCTGGAAATCATCAACAGTTCAAGTTTAGAAAAAGCTAAAGGAAACGGGTCGAATCTGGCTTCAGATATGAACTGCCCGCCGTCACAGCGACGCGAGACCAGCATAGTGTGACCGAGGAGATAGCGGACAGCCGCATTGGCCGCCGGTGATATGTGCAGAAGGCAAGGTAAGTGCGCCAGCTGAGGATCCACATACTTTTGTTGCGTTCTGAGAGACTTGCGATGCAGAAAAGCATGCGCTTAGAAGACCTTGAACGGACTATTCCAAATGGACAGAATCGCCCATGTTTGCTGAAATTGACACAAATCGTAAATATTGTGGTGCACCTGCGCCGAAATTGAGAGCGAAAAGGTGGAGACTTTAAGCAAACTATGGGTCATTAAACAAACTACCGTTGGGACGTAAATCGCATAAAAAGCCCTCTTCCTCGTCCCCAGCATGCAGCAAATGTCTTGCGATTTGCTAGCAATGACTCCTGTCTGCTTCTACCCCCGACGACACGCAATGCGTAAAACTGGGCACATTATACAATTTTTGGGAACAGCGACAGTGTGATGGTTGAGCTGCGCATGTGGGAAACCAAAGGTACGGGGTTCGATTCCACGCGGTGCACGCCCCTCCTGCTATGTTTAAGGCAAGCAACGCCATATAGCCTCAGCAACTGATATACCTTTATGTTCCGTTTGGGTGAAGGTGTATTTCAGTGATGATCTACAGCTTTATCATACTCCGATAAAAATTCAGCGCTATCAGTAAGTTATCCAGTGCGCCCAAACCAGAAATAAGTGTACCTTACTTGGAGCAAGTGCGTCGAAGCATCAAGTGGATCTTCAAAATCGAATTCAATAAAGCGCTTTTGACATGTATTGCTATGGCTGACCAGATTCAGAGCGCTTTTAACCTTTCTAATTCCATTTCTGCATATTCCAAATCTCACATCTGTTTATCCCGCCTTGTAGCTCCATATCCACCAGTTTAAAGAGGATCTAGCAGAGACATGATTTCCTCACACAAAAATGTAGAAAACGTATCTCGCACTGATGTTGCGTGGGATTCTTTTTGAGCTTGCCGTCTCAATGTTGCGGCTCAAAATAGTTTAATAAGTCAGATAATGAAAGCGTGTGATTCAGATGGCAAACGTTTTGTTTGTTCCCGTAACGTCGGAGGCAACTTTTGGCTTTGCATCATAACTTTGACAAAATGGACGGCACATATGGTCAGAAACTGTCGCCACCCCTGAATAACATCTGTGACACTGTACTGAAAGATGTAAAGTTTGCTTAATACTACAAGTCAGGCTCAAATATGTCACGGTCGACTGACTTCAGAAAGTGTCGTCCCCCGATCCGATCATGTAGAGGTTTGCATCAGTGACACTGGTATTTGTTTATAGGTCATAACATGTGTAATAAGCTCATGATAGCTAAGTCAAAATGCGGGGTCATCCTAAGTCAAGTCACAACGAGAACAGACCTCTGTTGCGACATTGTTTGAAATGCTACATGAGTTTGTTTGATATTCTTGCATACTCCAAG